TAACAACTTTATTATTACTAGATTTGTTTCTTGAAACCTCTTTATTTCCACCTGTTTCAGAAGGTTTGCTCATGTTTAATGAGAAGGCAAAAACTGGTTATCGGATTAAACTTTTTTTTTCAATTGCTCTCAGATATCTGTTTCCAATATTCAAAATGTTCACTTGCAGCATATCAAGGATCTGATTCCAGATCAGCCTGCAGAGTACAGCACATTGCACATTAAGATGTTCCTTTGTGCTACGTGCTCTAAGCACCTATTAGCATGGGATAAATGCTGCACATTGTGGAGTCTTCTCTGGTATGCACAGTGGGCTGTGCATTGATTTCTCCTTTGGTCTAATATGTCAGCTGAGGCTGTCATATTCACCAGTGACAGACACAGTGTTCTGCAAATTACTGCTCAGTCTGATGGATTTAGTTTAGTCTCTGATGACCTTAACACTTTTAGTAAGGCTCAATTATGAAATCAGAACAGGCTCTCATTTTGAGTAGCTCTAATAGTTCAGATAAACCATGAAATAAGAAAAGGTTCTGCTCATTTGAGACATTACTATTGGATCAAGCTCTTTGATTTGGAAATGTCCTAACAAAATGATCCCGTTGTGCTCTTACAGAAGTGTTGTATAAGGCTTAAAATAAATATTTATTTACTTGAACTAATAGCAAATTATCTAAGCTTCAAGGTCCGGAAACCAAGAGCATTGATTAAGGATCTTGTTGAAGTGATAAAAGTTTTCAGGAAGTTAAGTGCTGGTTTGAGCAGTGACTGATGGTGGGTGTCTCTTGAACAACAGCTGCAACTCCTGCTGCTATCTGGCTGAATGGTTTCAGTGGGCTTTTTAAATCAGCTTGGTCCGCCTTAGGTATTAGTAGGTGATTAAACCAATTAGCGAGACCTAGAGACATAAACACAGGATGGTAAATTGGAGTCTGAGGGCCTCTTGTGATTGGAAGGGGGTGCAGAGTGTGAGGCACAGAGTTTTGGTTCTCTTTGTTGAGGACAGTTTCTCAGGCAGACAGGCATGCAAACACAGTGTACACAAACTCTTTCTCATGACATTGAGGGGTTTGTACAACTCACATGAATACACACACATGTAGATAAAATGCAGATACACACACCACGCTGTCACACACACAGGGCCATTGTGTGCGACACTGCAGCCACTGTGTCTCCATGCGGAGCGTCCTGACACAGCACACGCCTCCTCACTGCTAAATGTCATGCACTGTGCCTGACAATATTGGGGATACAAAGTGCAGCCAGTGTGTGTGTCTGTGTGTGTGTATTGTGATGTTCTTTTGTCTGTCTATTGCTTCTTGTTATGTATGCTGTGGAAGAGAAACTATTAAGTAATGAATGTGTGAGTGAACTGATTAAAAAAGGCATCATTATGGCCACGCATTTGATAAACAACATAAGTCATTTTGAAAAAGCATTTCTCGGTTTTATTATTGATGCACTCTTTTTTATCACGCTAAATCAAAGCATTAGAGTATGTCATCCTTATTTATTAACTTGGTTAATTAATAATCAAGAAAAATAACTAATTAGTTGTGCAGAGAACCTTTTCATGATTTTAATAAATAAATAAATAAGCAGTTTATGAAATCTCAGTCAATTAACTGAACGATTTAATTTTCATACTTAAATCGTGCTTCAAATACAATTATTATCATTATCAATAATGAATGGTAAAGTCCATCAAATATCAGAACAAAAAGTCTTTAATTTGCTTCTTTTATCAGACCAACTGTACACACCTATTAACTATCTTGCGAAACAAATAGAAAGTAAGAAACCCAACAGAGGTTTTCAGGCATTTTAGCTTGAAAATGATTTAAAATGATGTCAGAATTGTATTCCTTGCTCTTCATCTCAGCTCTATTCTGTCTCACTGACTGTTTCCAGATGTGTTTGCCTCCTGCTGTCGGCCTGTGTGTCTCTGTGTTTGCATTTGCTCTTGCCAGGCAGAGACTGATAACAGCATTAGCTTGTGTCCTCAAAACAGCAGAAGATGAATTGTGAGGAGGAGAGGAGACTGTAAAAGTACAGCATGGTTCAACAGCAGCACAAGAACACAACACAAAAACACATGTGGTCCACAGGTGGGCCTTCTTCTTCTTCTTCTTCTTCTTCTTCTTCTTCTTCTTCTTCTTCTTCTTCTTCTTCTTCTTCTTCTTCTTCTTCTTCTTCTTCTTCTTCTTCTTCTTCTGTAGTCTCCTTATTTTGGCCACCCGACACTCTAGCTTTCTGTTTTAACGTAGAGGGCACCTGTGAAACTTTGCACATCCTTGTCTTTGTCACATTCAAAAGTCAAACAGGTGGAATAATTGGCTGTCAAGATAATGTGTGCAGCAGCTTAAGAATATTCACATTGTTGTTATGAAAAGCATATCTCTAATGAGGTATAGGGACAATTTGAAGACATTATAAATTCGTAATAGGATGAACGTGAAGTTTTTTTAAAATTCAATTATTTCCATCTGAGGTGTTATTAAAATCTTTTGTCAGCTACTGAAAAGAGAGGTGCCCGTGTGTTCAGCATGATAACACACCTTTTGTCAGCCTTAGCCTTTGCATTCAGGTGGCATCAGTTTAAGCTGAATTTTTATCTCTGTTCTTCCTAAAACAAAACAAGATGAAATAAATAAAGACTAATGTTAAACCCTTTAAATGGTATTGATGAAGTGCAGAACGAAAAATGGGAACACCTTTTGGCGTTCGATACAAAGGCCTCATTTTAACCATCAAATCCATCAGTTTAAAATGATTCTCTAAAGAAGTCTGCGTTAAGAGGACACTCATCCTCTGTCACTCAGATAAAAACTGCAGTGAGCAGAAAGCAGTGGTATGGTTTCTATATGAACAATAAAGAATACAAATAACCTTTCACAAACAGGTATTTTATAACTGCTTACAATTGTAACGAAGACATTTAAACTATTATTGGCAGTCACAGGCTGCAGAGAGAGGAGCTGTGGATTATTGTTATTGATTAATGCATCAGTGTTTTTTAGGGTCAAAAACACTAAACTCACAACTTAAAATGAAAGTGTTTAGTTTATTTAATAAAAGAGCACATGTTCAATGTGAAAAGTGACAGTAGATATAGCTTAGTTGCAATTTGGTGCTATATACATATAAAAAATGCTCCGTTGGCGGGGGCGCAGCACCCCAGTCCAAGACAATGGTAGGGGAAACACTGAAAAGTACATGAATAAAAAGTTACAGTGCAGTTTAAGATATGAATAGTTCACACAGAAGTTCCACTTTACTGATGCCTTTCTTTAAGGTTTCTCCGAACATGAGCTGTGTACGCTTGTATGGCACATACTTCCCGAGCAGCATACACAGAGAAAATCAGCCAGGACAAAGTCCCCAGACACTGATTCCCTGGAGTTACTAGCCCCAAATGTTCATTAACCAAAAACGAAACACAACCGCTCAGTTTCAATTAAAAGCAGCGGCAAAAAGAAAAGTCTTCAGCCTGGATTTAAAAGTAGTCGGACCTGCAGGTTTCTGGGAGTTTGTTCCAGAGATTTGGAGCATAATAACTGAACGCTGCTTCTCCATGTTTAGTTCTGACTCTGGGGACAGAAAGCTGACCAGTCCCAGAAGACCTGAGAGATCTGGTTCATAATTTAGCAGGAGGTCAGAAATGCATCTCCAGAATACAGTTTGTAAGCAGGGACTTCTCTGCTTAATTGCTTAATTGCTTTATTTTTGGTATTTTGACTTCTGTATGTAGAAGATCCGACAAATCCATTGACACCAAGCATCAGAATACCTAGTCCCACAGAGGGGACATTTGCAGCGTTACAGCAGGAAAGAGCCAGTGTTGCCAGAGCTTAGCCAGAGCTTAGTGTTGCATATCTTACATGCGTTAAAAAAGTACTAAGTTATAATATAATAAACAATATGCTAAAAAAGTACTAAGTTATATTATAATAAACAATATGCAAAAAAAAAATGTCTCAATAGCTTGTCGGGAACATCCCTAAAAGACGTTCCAAAGCTAGGCTGATTTGGCCCAAAATGGTGAAAAAGGTTCCAGAAATTACATTAAAATAGGAAATCTGAGCGAAAGTCAGCTACAAAATTGGGCATTCTTTGTTCATTGCTCAATTGCACACAGCTTGACATTACTCTTTTCAAAATGCTGTGGCGGACCCATTTCTTAAGGTGGGGTGAAAATTAGAATCTACCGAATCTAATGATGCCACTTGTGTCGAGTTTTGAAGAGAGTTTTTCCAGGTTTCTTTAATGCAATTTCGATAACATTGATACGTTGTTTGCCCTCCTTGTGTGTGTGTCTCCTCTCTCAGTGACTGAATGTGTGTGTTTGTGTTTCAGGCCAACACAAATAAGCCAATTCTCAACCGCTCAGCGCAGAGTGGAAGGAACGCTCTGTTGGGTGATATCTCTAAAGGCTCCAGATTAAAGAAGACCGTCACCAATGATCGCAGCGGACCCACAATAGATAGTAAGTCAGGACATCTTTCAAAGCACTCACCATTATCTGTGCTGTCCTAAGGGAGGGAAGGTGGTTTGAAGCCAGCTTGGTCACATTAACAGACAACACTAAGCTGCTTAAACTAAATAATACCATTTGTTTTTTATTAGTCAATTGATTGAATGTGTTAGAAACAAAACAAACAATAATAATTATAACAAAGACAAGGAAAATAAAAGGATGTTCAAGGTATAAAAAAAATAACTTTTACAACGACAAGAAGTAGCAAGCATCTCTTCACAGGTCCTGCTCAGAACCATTCAGGAGGCGGTTTCTAAATAATTGTTTTAGTTTAGATAAAGTTGCACAGTAAGATAAATAGAGAGAGATGACACTCAGTGATTACTGTGCCTAAAAACCCACATAGAAAATAGTAAATGACCAATTAATTATTTTCTTTTTTTGTCTTTCCCCTAGAACCCAAAGGAGG